CCTTGTTTTCAAATTTTCTGTTAAAAACATCTACTGGATTCAAAATTTCAGCTTTTTTTTCCAAAATTATTTTCAATTTCATCCATAATTCATTTTTTCTCAAATATTTAATAAAATTTAAATTAAAATAAAATAAATTATTTACTTATAAATAAAAAATTTATCTCGAGCTGATTTTCGAGGCTAGGTATTAAATTAAATATTGCTAATGTGATAAGATTTTTTAATCTATGTTGTCCTGTCATTCTATTGTGTGCATAATATGTTTATGTCAGCATAATACATGTTTATTTCACTCACTTACTCTGAAATATGAATTTCGTACTCATGTGTCGCTTGGGATGCATATATACGTGTATTTTTAAGGCTAAATATTAAATACAAGGAACGATATGCGTGAATTAACGGTGTTGAATAAAAGAAGCTTACTGGGTATATTGGAAAAGAGTGTACAAACTTATTACATAGGGTGAGCCCTACTGTGGACGTTACCCTCAGCCGTACGGAACTAAGAAGTCCCATATCGGATGGGGTTAGGAATTATTTTAATTACACTCATACCAGATGGGATATTAAGATGGTTGCGTGTTGTGGTGCCCATTACTGGACGGGGTATAGGGACGACCATTTGATTATAAAGAAAATGTTCGTGTCCACATATAGTGGGGATCCCTACGGACCCCTAGCGACATCAGTAGAAAAAGATAAAATGATATAAATGAATATGGTAAGGAATCCAATTTTGGAAAATAGTGAAGGGTTAATTGTTATATGTCTTTTAGAATGTATATTGTAGATTGCTATTTTGATTCTTATCTTAATAAGTGGTATTTGAGAATTTACAGGTGAGTCGAAAAAATAATAATGTTTTCAATGAAACAAATAATGAATGCACTAGCATTCGAGTTTTATTAAAAATAGGCTCCATTGATTATTTTATGTTTCTACAACTTTTTGATTTTCCGTATTAATGGTAAAATGTTGATATTTTTACTGAGTTAGTATAACTAATTCCTTTATTATTAACCATTTTATATCAGAACGATCAAGACCCAGATCCAAAATAGCAAAAAACTAGTTAAGAGATTACCTCTTTTGCTTTATTAGTTTCAAGTAGAGGTTAATCATATTTATTTTATCTTTTTTTTGTTTAAGTTTTAAGGATATTTCTGTAGCCATATTGGACATTTGAAGTAAACGTGCAAGGAATATAACCCTAAACTTTAATTGCTTTCGCTAAATTATAAATTTCAATATTGTTTATTTTACTATTACTGAGTTATACGCTAGGAATTCTTAGTAGGGGTTTGGGCCTTTACACATAATACTTCTTTTGTAAATCATTGACCGTCTCTATACCCTGTCCGGTAGTAGTGTCATAGATTAAAGACCGTCTCAATACTCTGTTCGGTACGAGTGAAATTAACTAACTCTCAATCCTGTTCGGTATGAGACTTCTTAGCCCCATACAGCTGAGGATAATGTCTACAGCAGAGTTCACCCTACGTACCAAGTCCGTACACTCTTTCCAATAATACCTGGTAGGCATTTGGTCATTATAACCATTTAACGCATATAAATATCCCACTGTTATCCAAATAATCAATAGTCATGAGACCGAACCTTAAATTAGAAAAAGGTGTGTGATTCGTGGTTTGATACTCAATAAAGATAAAATCGTAATTAAGAATAAAACAAGGTGACAAAATAGGATAAAATTTTTTCATGTGAACAATAAAACCAAATGAATAAAATATGCGTACTTAGAATAAAATAGAATATAAGAATGAAGCGGATAGGAATAAACGAGAACCAAAACAACACAAAACAACAAGATAGGATAAAACAAATGACGACGATCCAAGGTATATGCCCAATTTATTGATTCTAGATTAGTATAACACAATAGGGATGAACACGGAATAGATTTGACAGAATGGAAAATTATTAAATAAATAAATGAATAAAAATAAAAGTAGAAGGATAATTTAAAATAAAGGAATTGAAAACCAAAGTAAAGATGTAAATGGAAATAGAGGATGACAAGTAGAAAAATAAAACAAATAACAACAAAAACCAAATTGATTTACTAGCTCCATTGGTAACCTATATTTAATCATCAAGGAATCACAAAAATCTTTAATATTACCATTTATTATCATTTTAATTTTAATTAACCGTAATAGGAAAAAGGTTGAGAGATTCTTACATATGATCGGATTCTATGACACTGCCTTTTTTGCTACGGTTCGCGGCAGTTCCTGGCTCTTGGTTTTCTTGGGTTTCCTGCTAAACTTTGAAACATATATTAAAACGGTGTGAATATACATAAAGAATGGTGGAAAAAAGGTAGAAAAAGCTCACTAGGGTCGGGTTGGGGTTCCAGCACGGCACCGCCACTGAGCTCCATCACTTAGTTCTCCTTCTCCGATATTTTTCTCTTTTAGCCAAGTCGGTTCGGGTGGTTTCCTGATGAAAATTTGTGTAAATCGTGGAAAGGAGGGTGTTTTATGGAGAAAAGAGGAAAAAATTAGCCTTACTAAGTAGTTTTTTTTCTCTGGTGCGGTGACTAAGCCAAGCTCCACCGTCTCTCTCTCGTGGGTTATGGGTTTTTCTTGGTTATTCTGCATCGGGGATGATTTAATGGCTATGATGGAGAAATGAAA